CACACGCTATAAGTCACAGCGATTCATAATCTCGATAACTTCGCTTTCGACAAGTGCAAAACACACACTTTACAGCTCACTAGCTCAAAACTAACAGAATCATAAATTACACGGAACTCAAAGTAACTACTGCTCTCTCTTCATTAACCCTGCTGGCTTTCACTGCCAGGCTTATATACTAACGAAGAGGGCATCTCCAAGACACTCTGACTTCCCTGATCATTCGAGAAAATCATCATGCATGCCAGCAGCATCACGTGACTTCCGCTGTCATAACAGTATATATAATTGTGCATTACTTTGTTGTAGGAGAAGGCATAGACATGGCTGCTATGATCATTCAACAAGGAAGAGATCATGGGGTTCCAGGGTACACTTCCTGGAGAAAGTTTTGTCATCTGCTCCCATCTATCAAAAGTTTTAGAGACCTGCATCTCATAATGCTACCTGAAACAGTTAATAGAATGGTCCATCTTTACAAGTAAGTTTATCATTATGGACTTGTTGCAACATAATTATCTCTCACTAAAGAAGAAGAAGAAAACAAACTGTGTATTTGTTTTGTCATTTATGCAAGCAACTATCTTTGAAGTTGAGATCCCCCCCTTCCCCAAAATGAATGTGGAAACAAACACTATATCCCCAGTATGGATATACAAAATATTATATATTAAACTTTAAAACTTTGTGTGTGTTTTTTGATACTAGCTATTAAATATATACATTTTAAAACTTTAAAGATTTTCTTACCATTTTAAGTAATATACACATTTGTTTGGATTATTCCATAAAATAAATTGTATTGCTACTAGAAGGTCTTTTTTTGTATGACAGTACTAATGCTGGAGACTGACCATGGGCAAGATTTTCACTGTACTCTAATAACATTAATTAATGAAATCATAATAGTGCTGGGAAGACTGATGACAAGTGATCTTTTTCCTGTTCTTTAGTTAAATTACATCATAATAACACAAAAGAATCTCTGCAATATGACTTGTGGTGGGCACTGTTCATATATACATATTTCTGATAACAGGTGAGGTTACTTGCAATAACAAAGTTTTTGCTCCCATTAAAGTTACTTAAAGCCTTTATTCTAAGTTATTGTTAAGTAGAGATCTGTGTATGAGATATTAAATGCAAAATATATTAAATAAGTATAGGAGGTAGTTATGTAGCAGCAGAGCAAAGCTATTAAACTCAATTGACTAAGGGGAGTTAAGAACATGAGAGTAGTCAATAATTATGAGTATTTCTGTGTGGTTATAGTGAAAGATACAGTATTACTTGTTATTTTGTAATGACATTGCCTGTGGAGTTACAGTGTAATTTCTTGTCAATTCTGTGAGAAAGAAACTTTCATATTGGAGTATTATGTGTAAACATTTCTTCCAGAAACGTTGATGACATTGATATATTCACTGGGGGCTTAGCAGAAATCCCACTTGAGGGCACTGTTGTTGGGCCCACATTTAGCTGTTTATTGGGAATTCAATTTCAACAATTGAAGAGAGGTGACAGATTTTGGTATGAAAATGATATCCCCCCATCTTCCTTCAACAAAGGTAAGTTCAACAAACTTCATGATACCTGAATTAGCTTGCTTATAAAGTTTTATTGTAACATATTAAATATAATTATGATAATTTGCTTATTCAATTTTTTTAATGTTAGAGCAACTGAAGGAAATCCGCAAGGTGTCGCTAGCTCGGATTCTTTGTGATAATGCTGATACTGATGTTTTCCTGCAACCATCCATTATGTTGGTAGTGAATCCCTTCCTGTAAGTGGAGAAGTTGAAGAGTAGCATAAGAAAACTTTTGATATAAGTTTATTAGTAACAAGTTTCCCAACACTGTAAAGTTGAATTTAATCTGTATTTTAAATAGTAGTATGAAATACCTATGCTCTACTGTGAGGTTCAAAGGTATCCTCATGATTTACTGAGGACTCAATGTACTGATTATACCCTGTTACTAGCTAACCCAAAAGAAGTTATACCTAAAAAACAAATCCCATTATGACACTGACCCATGGTATCCAAATTTGTACCATATTTGGTCCCACTAACTTGTGAGTGAAGGAATGAACACAGTTTAAACATTGTGTCCCTGGGATCCTGGACCAGTAACACAAAGTCTGATGCCAGATTCAGGTTTAGTAACCCTGAAAACCTATGTTTGGGGGATCTTCTAAACACGTTTTAGCCCCTCTTGATAGGTGGGCAATACCATATTGATTTGTACACTCCCTTGGGCAACCCTGAGTCCACCTGCAAAGTTGGCCCTGCTAGCACCAAAACTATGGGAGAAATATGCAGACACACAAACAAACACAACATGAATTAACATAGGATAAAGATTTATGTACTTTTACCTTTTAAAGATGAAGAAAACCAGGTGGTAAATTGAATTATACAGCTGAGTAACATCAAAGTTTATTTTGAAATAAAAGGGTGTAAAAGCAAGTATAAAAATTCATTATGCTAATTTCCACTCCTAAAACCAACTAAATCTCCACTGGGTGGCAATCTGCATAATCAACCTAGATGGCCAATGAAAGCTGACTATTTCCTGATCTCAGTTTTCTTCTGTTATAATTTGGGTTTTGTTACCTAATATGAACTAACATTTTCATATTGGTTTGTTAACAGTATTCACTTTGCCAAAAGAAATTGGTGTTTTGAAAATCTTTATTTTAAATTTTGACAAAGAATTAAATTTCTTTGACATGAGTGTTGTGAAACATCAAATTGATTCTATTAAGTGTCCCTGTGGCCAAGAATGAACAATATGAAATTGACCCTATATTTGAATTAGAATAAATGATGGCAAGTAATGGACCAGTTTAAAGCAGTGTTAGAATATTAGTTGTGCCATCATGATGCTTCACACAATTTTCAAAATAAAAGATGTGTTATTCTAATATGGTACTTACCACTTCTCACAAGATTAACTATTCTTATTCAGTGCTGCCCTATATATGAATTTTCTTTATGTATGCCACAAGCCTTGTTGGAATTAGTACATTCCAATGTGTCTCTCATGCAAATCATCTATTAACCAATAGTAGCATAGTATGATCATGTGATGCATATGACTCCCTCTACACTCCTCTACCGAACCTTCACTTCTCATTTGACAGTGTTTGAGTTCAGACGTCATTCTTTTTCCTCATTACTTCTTTAAGTGGTTTAACCTAATTTACTTTATTTCAAGAATTTGTTTTCACTTTATTTTCGAAAGCGTTTGATTCACTCATGTTTTACCACAAATTTTTCGTTTGTTTGTTTGGTATCAAGCATGAATTCCAAAGTTAATGTTACCAGTTTGGGTACATCTCATTTGTCTGATGCCATACTTCAGGCCACAGGTGCAGGCGACCCATCTGGGGATTTACTGCCCTTTATTCGCAGGAAGATTGAGTATCCTATGGAACAACCTTTGTCTCCTGCTGTTCCCCCCTCTTCCTCCTGAGCCTTTTGGGCAGGGCCATGATGGTGATAGTATGCCTCATCCTCCATGGGCTTTGGATCAGTCTGCCCATCATGTGGCAGACTATCCACATCTGGACCAACAATTGTTTGTTTCAGTTTTGCCTGTTTGGACCTGCATCTCCCATTCATCTTACCCAGCCCAGTATTCCTGCCTTTGTCTTACCCTGACGACTCTTTTATGGTACCTCTACTCGATCCATTTCCTGTCTGAAGATCTACACAGGAACCCTGAGGTTTTTTTTTGGGATATCATCTCACTCCTCATTTCCTCGTTGGCCTGCCAGTCGTCTTTGGCTTTGGCCTTGCAAACATGGTTTATTTGTTGTTGGGACTTTTTGTGTCATGATGCCATATTATCACAGACCCTTCCCCCAGCTCCTTATGTACTGGACTTTCTTTGGCCCCATTTTGGAGACATGCAGTAGATTTAATCTGTCACCTTAATGGTTGACGTGGCCTCCTGTTCCATGTTCCATACCACATAGAATTGATCCATTGTACATGCATTTCAGCTCTTTTGATTGGGACCCCTCATCCTACCTTCGCGTGTACATTGGTTCCCTGCATTGAGGTGTTGGATTCAAGTGAACCAATCAATATAAGTCCTTGCACAAGTTGAATCCATCCTCTTGATGGCCAGTCACAGATTGCTGTAGGGTGGTGATCCTTGTATAGTATCTAGGAATTGGAGCAGATCTTAATCCCCAATTCTTGGGTTGTAGGTGAAGATGGTATGATCCTCATCCTACCCTTATGTGGATGATGGTACCCCGTAGAGGAGATTTTGGATGTAGTTGACTTGTTGAGTACAGTCCGACATGTCATAGCCATTCTACACCTCACGACTTCCGCCCATATGATTTACGAATTATACAAATGGGCAAAGAGTATACCTGGCTCAGGAGTAGTGCGGTTCCCCTCCTCTCATCTCTGGATCTCTTTCTTTCATGGTCAGGGGTATCATTTGGATGCTTTTGGGGTGATTCTGTTATTCTCTCGCACTTGTCGCTCCTCCTTCTCAATGTGGGATTCCAGCTAATCTTGTGAGAAGAGGTAAGTACCATAACAGAAGTTATAATTTTCCTATACTGAAAATGTATTTCCAATAGGTACTTACCTCCTTTCACACTTCCCACCCTTCCTCACCACTTTCTGGTGCTTGTGCCTTCTGTCAAACTTCAAAATGAAGGTTTGGTAGAGGGAGTCACATGCGTCACATGAGCATACTATGCTACTATTGGTTAATTGATGATGCATGGTGAGAGACACGGAATGTACTAATTTCAACAAGGGGGAGCACAAGGCTTGTGGCATGCGTAGAGAAAATGTTTGCATATAGAGGGCAGCACGGAACTAGAATAGCTAATCTTGTGAAAAGAGGTAACTACCAATGGAAATACATTTTCAGTATAGGAAAATTATAACTTATGAAATATTTATTTTCATAAAAATTGTGTCGACTTGAAAATACATTTGATAGATTTTTTTAACCAAAATATAGTACATTACTGTCTTAAGTAACAATAAGTAATGTCAAGAAATTGTTGAGTGTTAACTGATTCCTGAAATTCTATACCAGCATTTCTCAAACTTTTTTGACAATGGAACACTTTTGAGCTCTAAAACTATTGATGAAACCCTTAAGAAACATTCTTATGTTAAAAAGTTAAATTATAAAAAGGATCATCTTTGTACAATTGGTAACTACATACACAATTATATTTATAGAACTTTATTTTATATTTCTTATATTTTTACATTAATTATAATTAAACAGTTTTTTATTCAAGGAAGCACTTAAATCTTAACTTTAAATTTTTTTTCTTTTCAATGGAAAGCGTGTTGTTGTTTATTTTGATTGCAAATCTGTTTAATATTGGGAGTAATGCTGGATTCTCATATTAGGTGCAGCATTTAGTCTGTTCCTGTATTTTGTTTTTGTTGCAGTATAGCATGAGAATCCAGTTTCATACAAGTATGTTGTAGCGAAGGGAAGGAGCTCAAAAACTGCACGTTTCACCACATTTGGGTACTCATGAATTAGGCTACTCCAAAAATTAATTAACAAAAGTTTGCTGAAGCTTTGTTTTAGCGTGTAGTCAGAAGTCGTGTCAATCAAGCTCTCATAATTTTGCACTGATAAGCTGACTGGCTTGGCTGTTAGTGTAAATGATTATGTACCCATTCATTGTAGTCATTTGATGGAGGAAAATATTCCAACAAAGTTAAGTATAAGTCACGCATGTGTCTTGTAACATCACTGAAAACATTTTCATTGGGGACAAAACTCATTTCAATGTCAGGAAGCAATCAAAGTTACTGTTTTCTATGCAGGAACTCCAAAATGGCAGTTTCCGCAACATCAAGGAAATTTTGTTTTTTGCAGTAAAAATGGTAACATCCTTTCCTTGCAGCTACAGATTCACTTCATTTAGTTTTTAAAGATATCTACAAGATATGCAAGTCTCAGAAGCCACAAGGTATTTAAAAAACAGTGTAAGAGTCAAAATTGGTGATCCACACAAAATACTAATACATCATGACAAAGCTCAAAACGTCTCACAAGCATTGTGCCTCACAACAATCACCTCACCTCCATTTGTAGAAAGAGCATTGTGTTCTGACTACTCATTTCTTTGCACACAGTTTTAGATAGTCTGGATTTCAGTCATTGAGTTTTAATATAATTGAGAATTTGCACTGCCCCATCCAACACATATTTAAGAGAAGTAAGCACCTTTAATAATAATTGCTTGTCTGTGGAGAACACTGTTACTGCTGGTGCAACCCAGTGCCACAGTTTTGATTTGTGTTACAGTAGCTGCTGTTTTCCCAACCTTTAGTCTGGCACACATCAACACATTTTTCCCAACTAATTTCATATCTTTTCATGAAGTTGTTAATGCAGTTGAATATTTCTTTGCCAGTTGTATTGCTTTGCAAAGATCCACATAACAGCATCTCCTCCTCAATAGATTTATCAAACACATAATGCACGAATACCAGCAATATTGCAAGCTGCCCTGTCACATCAGTGGACACATCAAACTGTAATAAATATGCATTGCAAGGTTTCAATCAAGAAATTAGCAGCAAGATCTTGAATTCCATGGGCAACAGTATTGTTTGACAGCTGTAATGCCTCAATATCTTTACTAGCCTGCTCATCAAGCATAGTTTTTACAATATCTTTCGTGTAAGGTTTAATGATGTTTTCTCCAATCTTATGTGCTTATCCCACTAGCGCAGTGAGGTAACTTACTTTATAAGATGCCTCTATTCCTTTTTCATTGTCTGTTTTGTTAGTTTTTAATATCAAGGTTTTACAGTCTCTAAGTGCATTAACCTTTCATTTGAATAAACTAATGTTATTATCTTTATATTCAAAATGATTAGTTTCTAAATGCCGTTGCAGTTTAGTAGGTGACATGGAACTGTTGGATAATATTTTGTTGCACACGACACACTGTGCCCCAAGGGAATATTGATTTACAATGCACATACATCCATAAGACAAATAGCTCTCATCATATTTACATTTCTTATTGCCTGCTGCTAATTCAGTTGATTTGGGTAGCAGTTGCTTCATTCTGGAAAGATCCATTTTCGATTTTTCAGCAGTAAAGTGCTGCAACAGTCCATCTTCAGCTACAGTCAATATATCAGAAGAACTTGTTTTTGGCTTTAAAGTTCCATCTTTTAGCCACCAATCCATGGCTAAGTAGTGTCAATACTTGAAATCACTATAATTTTGTACTCTCATGAAATATTCACAAACTCAAGACAAGCTTGTTGTTTCCTTGAAACTCTGCACTCGACTATCACTAGGGACTAACTAAGAGTAACTCATCAATTAGACTCCACCCATAACTGAAATAGCCCATGACAAAGGGAATACAGGGTGGTATGATTTATGAGTTGATTAGTTTCTAGGTCATACCCATATCTGGCATGCTCCTTTACTCCAACTACACTACAAAAAATTTTCTAGTGGAGCCCTTGAATGTATCGTAAGGAACACCAGGATTCCACAGAACACAGTTCAGGAAATGCTGTTCTATACACTTCAAGACAACTGCTAGGTGTTCCTGCTTCCTCTTTTGACCTTACAGCTAGTCAGATTTAACAACATACAGTTAATAACTTTGTCTCATAAATATCATGTATAATAGCACAAAAATGTTTTTTTCTCTTTAATCCTACATACAACGCTAAACTATAAATTTTTTCTTGTTAACTCTTTCAACCCGGTTTGGTCCCTGGGAACGACCTCATAACCATTTTATACTTGTTATAGTTTTCATGCTATAACTTTTAAATTAGAATGTTAACAAAATTTGGCAGTTTATCAGTAAACATTACAATGCTTTCATATGCAAAATATCTAATTTTTTATTAAGTCTTAAGGTT